GCGGGTGGGCGGGGGGCCCCCGGGTGCGGATCCCAGAGCTTGTGCAGAGCCCGCGGTGCGGGAACAGGTTCTGGACAGTCGGACAGAAGGCGGGCTCGAGTCTGCCCGCCCCGCGCCGGCGCCGGGGGAGCCTGCTGCGCCCCCACGTCGGGGGCGCCGCTCCTGAGCCTTTTGTTTGAGGACTTGTGCGGGGTTTACAGCTCACTCTCTAATCAACCCCAGTGCTCCACCTTCCGACGCGCCTTCCTTGACACGTCGGGGCCAAAGTAACAGTTGATCAGGGAGGAATGGACTTGGAAACGAGGGCAAGAATTTTTGTAACGGAATGTTTCTTTTGTTCTCTGCATCTGGAGGCTAGAATAGTACCAAATGACATGTTTCCATGCCTCTTTTCGCTTTTTAAAAAGGCAGGCAAGGGAGCACAGATGAAAGGGAATGTTTAGACTCTTCTGACCCTCCCCCATTCCCAGCGTGTAGCCCATTCACTTATACGTCTGCCCCCAAGTCCCCAGTAATTTGAACTATGGGTTTTGGTGTGTTTGTTATCCTGAAAAATACTCACTCGGGGCTTTGCTTACGAGAACCACTTTTGTGTTAACTGCACCCCTCCCTACGTGTGTGTGACCGCGCTTGTCTGTCGCAGGCCCAATGTATGCGGCTCCAGGTTCCACTCCTACTGCTGCCCGGGATGGAAGACGCTCCCTGGAGGAAACCAGTGCATTGTCCGTGAGTGCTTGCTTGGCTGGGATCGCAGCTTGGGGCAGGCGGCACGCTTGGCCTTATCTCAGGGCCGACCTCTTGCATTCGGTCGTTTGGACACACAGTTGCATTTAAAATCCAGTGGCCACTTAGCAGTGATAATCGCGACTGGACACGGCCCCATTTGAATGGTGGAGAGGAAGCGGCCGGCTTGCGTCAGTTCAGACTTCACTTCTAGACTGTTGAAGGGCAATAATGATAAAGGTTTCAAAGATACTTGGAAGTTTTATCTTTCTATGTCTAGTAATATAAACTGAAGGGGAGGGTGTAGAGCAATTCCCTAGATAACTCAAAACCACTTTTTCCTAAAAAAGTCCCGAAAAGACTACAGTGTTATTATGTAAATTATCTGGCTTTTGAATCTGCGTGAGGTTTAGGCCTTATGAAGATAAAGGTTTTCTAGGCTTTTCTACAAAACCACTTATTATCTCTGGTTTCATCTCAACAGCCACATAACATAGATATGAAAGGAGCACTCTCACGGATTTAGAGTTGACCCAGGTTAACAAAATTTTTAAAAGAGAGAACTCTTATAAGTGGCTTGACTTTGGGGGTGGGGGTGAATTTAAATTTAGGGTTCCCAGACCCTGAATTCCACAGTGTACCGTAGATTTCCAAAGTGTGACCCTTAGAACTTGAAATCTTCTGCGTATCTGACCTTAAAAGTTTTGATTATTTTATAATGTTTCCAAAGCGTATACACAGCTCTCCAAGTTCTTATTGGAGAGCTCATTAATTATCAGCCTCATCATGGACTCTGGGATGTCGTGTTTCACATGCCTGTGAATTTGTGTCTTGAAGTGTGACAGTCTCCTGTGTGTTTATATAGCACAACCACATTTGTCTTGTCAGGAGGAGAGCCAGGTATCATAGACAGAGCATTCATTTAGAGCCAGTTTTGACTTTAGATTGGCCTTGATGTCCTCCAGGGAAAAAATAATTATGCAACTGTCAACAGAGAAAAAGGGCAAGCCACACTAGCCAAGGGATAATAAGGATGTAGTGGCATCTCTAACTCTATATTTATTGGTTTTGTGGGTTTGAGATAGACCCTTAATGTTATTTGGGGGCAGTTTTTAAAAAGGAATGAGATCTCAAGTGTCATAAAGACTACTTTCTTATTTTTTCTACCCTAAAATCCCACAATCTCTAGTAATGAGGCAAAAATAGGAAACAACAACTGTGTTCTTCAAAGCGACTCATAAATATTGTAAATAAACCTTCTGATTTTAAGCCTTTGCTTTTATTAAAAGGAAAGGAGATTGCATTTTTTTCTTTCCAACAGAGAAGTCATATGTGAAGCATTTATGGAGGGTGCATTTACTCTCTCAGCCAGTAGGGCATTACCGTGGCTGCTTTAAACTTACATGATTTCCTAGAATCCTGAAACAGCTAACGTCACTCACCACACACCTGCCATACTAGCCGGGAGTGACTTAGGCACTGCGGAAAGTCTGACTCACTAAATGTAATGAATGTGACTGCCATTATTGAGTTGGAGAGCAGCCGAGGAGAAGGGATCGGTTTATGGTACGTGTTGAAAATCTGTAAAGTCAGATTTTATTGGATCAGTGGGGAATGGGAATTCCAGAGAGCAGAGCCTTCCAGAATATTTGCAGTAGAAATATATGTATGACCCACTGAGTGTCAGCTTTAAATACGTTTGGTCTTTGAGTAACATTGTGCCCTTTACTTTTTTAGTAGATCAGTCTGAAAATCTCAGACTGTAACAGGGACTCTTGTAGCTTGCATTTCTCCTACTGGAAATACTTGGGTGCTTAAAAGATACATTGGAATTTATTTGTAGCAGAAATCTATAAAAAGCATAAACTTTGAAATGATCTTTCTATCTCCAAGAAACATTTACAGCTCTTGTATCAAGAGGTATCTACAAAAATATTTATTATTAGCACATTAAAAAAGTAATTGAAGTCCCCGAGTATAAAATAGTTCACAAAATAGAGGGAGATGTAATGCCTTATATTCTATTCCCTGTGTCTCACCTAACTTTTAACTTTCAAAAGACTACATTAAATTCAGTAGTCAATTATTTTGACATTTAAAATGATCGTATGTGGAGGTAACAATGAAATTAATACCATTACGAACTCATAATCAAGAATTTTAATTCCAGGCTTTCCTGATGATATCAAATTATGTTATATCTTGAATTATGTTATACATTATAATTGTGTTATATATTGAATTTATGTATATTTCACCATTTAGCAAAGGAAAAGATCTGAGGCGACTTACAAAAAGACAGTAAAATACAAATAGAAAACAAGGACCAAAGATAATTTTCTCATACATTTATGCTTCAGCATTCTTTCTATATAGAAAGATATTAAAATGATCAACTTTTAGAATTTTAGTCTGTTTGGCTTTGACCAGGCTTCATGAAGAGAAGAAGATATTAAAAGGAAAATATATTTCTCAAAATGCTGGAAACCTAATGCGTTCTGATTTGAGTCTATCTTTTGTTGTTATTGTTCTTAATTGTGGCCTTAAAGATTACTGAAGTACTTCCAAACTCCAAATATTTATTTCCACAAGGATGGAATTCACTCTCTCACTTTATACTTGTTTGTTGTTGTTTGTTTGTTTTTATCTTGTTAGAACATGAAGCAATGAAAAAATTTGCTTATTAGTTTATTTATTGTGAAATTATGCTATGAACAGCATTTTGATTAGTTATTAACAATGTGATAGGGTTGGCCCGTCTTCTACCATTTGAGACCTGAGGAGACATAGAATACTCCTGTTTAACACCTTTATTTTGTGTTATCAATAAGAAAACTGAACTGAATAAGCTGTGAGTTTTTCCAGAGCTCACAGCAGGTCAGTGGCAAAGTGAGAACTTGACCTCAGACCTTTTGGGTACCATGTACTCTTTACCTGGCCATGTGACTTCTCCCAACAACACTGAAGTTCCAACACCTAGGTCATCTCTCCCTCTCTCTTTGGTATTTCTAGGTCTCATGGTTTTAGTGATTGTGGGAGGGATAGATATTTAGGTGAGGCATATNTACTCCTGTTTAACACCTTTATTTTGTGTTATCAATAAGAAAACTGAACTGAATAAGCTATGAGTTTTTCCAGAGCTCACAGCAGGTCAGTGGCAAAGTGAGAACTTGACCTCAGACCTTTTGGGTACCATGTACTCTTTACCTGGCCGTGTGACTTCTCCCAGCAACACTGAAGTTCCAACACCTAGGTCATCTCTCCCTCTCTCTTTGTTATTTCTAGGTCTCATGGTTTTAGTGATTGTGGGAGGGATAGATATTTAGGTGAGGCATATCATAATCTGAGACAGGTGTGGGGGAAAGGGCCTAACTCTCTTGCTTCTCCCTGGCTCACAGATGTAGAGTACACACCTATAGCCATGACAGGTAACTGTCTGAGGATGCCCAGTCTCCAGCCCGTCAAAACTTCATTGGGTTTAGGATCTGGGTGGGGCACTTTGTATCTCACCTAAGCCTAGAATAAATATCTACCTGCTGGGAAAGAGTGGACTTTGAAATAAAACAATATTTTGATGAACATTTGTCAATGGAAAGTTATTGGTGATCAGAAACCCTTGTGCGTTTTAAGAAGTCATAGTCAACTCCATGGTGGGACCCATATTTTTGCTTAAAATTGGTTTTTTTATCTTCACACCATGATATTTGACACTGTTTTCACTTATAAGGATTACTAATGGAGATGCTGGCCGTATTATATGGATGTCAAAAGGCAATTTGGAGAAGGAAAAGGATTATTGCATTAGTTTGCTTCTGTGGACCATGTCCTTTATACTACCAGGCACTACTAGCACCAGATACATATACACATTGGCGTAATGTTCACAGCTAGTTTCAGGGCTGTCAGAGACTCTCCTCTTCTTGTCTGCATGCATCCAGTCTTGGAGCACAAAAGCACACAGTCTTTGTGCT